GGAGAGAGAGGGGGGAGGTTAAGGGTATGAGAGAGAAGGGGAAAGACCGAATGAAGGGAGAGGTACGGTTGCAGGATAGGAGACAGGAAGGAAGGAGGAGAGAGGGGAGTGGGGTGATTATGCAGTGATAGGAACGGCTCTGGTAGATCAGCTGAACGGAGTGAGAACGGGGTTAGAACGGCGATTGGCCAGTAGGGCGTCACGGTAGCACCCATGGGCTGGGTGCAAAGGTGGCTTGATTATAAGAAGCGCCCTCCCATTGACCTACATAGATCCCTGAAGATGCCGGCAGAGAGCCGGTGAAAGCTTGGATCACTATTTATTAAAACTTTTTAAACTTTTTAAAGGTTTTACTTTTCCTGGTGCTCATTTGCATTTGTATGCTTTTATCATGAACACACCCAGAAATCAGTCTTCGGTTTTTAGTATTGTTTTTAAGATTATATATATATATATATATATATATATATATATATATATATATATATATATATATATATATATATATATATATATATATATATATATATATATATATATATTTATATATTATAAAATATTATGCACACAGGTATATATTTACATATATATAAAATTGAATTAAGTATTTTTTTGAGCATGTTGATCAATCTAGATCATAATACAACAGCCATTTACTTTAAATGTTAAATGCGTATGAAGTGGGAAAGGCCTGGAAAATGAAGCAAACTGTTTAGTCAAACTGTGAACCTATAAAATAAGGGATTTCTAGATGCTAAGTTAGGCCAGATGCTACACTGAGCACTTCCAATATTTGCATTGATGTTCCTAATGACCAGGAAATACTTTTCTTCGAGATGTAACTTTCAGAGGACACATCAAGTTGATCTCTTGATAAACCAGCTTTTTAAGTGAAAATGTACTGGAGAAAATGAAGAGGTTTTAGAAATATCCAAGGAGCCATAGCAACATAGCGACTTCTATTTTTACATCATGAAATATAGTTAAAAACAACATTGGGAGCAGCAAGGAATGTCAATTAATAAAATACAAAACAGACCTGTGTGTTCTTTCAAGAATCAAATTATTTTACAGGACACAAAATTATCAGCAGCTATTTACTTAAGTGCCATAGTTATTTACTGTTTTCACTTTATTATTCTGGTGTTTTGGGCCAATTATTCATTCTCGCACATCAACAAGCTCACGGGACCCATAAACATTTTGCTTATTAAAAGGGAGATGTTAGGTGTCACTTAAAGAGGGTCCTTTCATATAAACTGTTCAGTGAATATTCAGAGGAGATATAGGGGTTCGAAAAGGCAGATGGACAAAATGGAAGAGTACTGAAAGTACAAGACCTAATTCAGGTATACAACTCAGAAGATTTGGAAAAATAATAAGACAATAAATTTGGAAGGAAAATTCTAAGTAGATTTGGGGAAGAGAAGCGGTTCCTTTGCAATAGCATTCCTGGATTTGGGGGACTTTGCCCGCCTCCTCCTTCCCCTTCCCCTCTTTTTTATTTCTTTGGTCCCAGTCTTGCCTACCATCGCCTTCCACCATCTGACCTCCTTTCCTGGCCTCTTACCACTTCTGTTGTTGCCACTGGTACAGACCTTTTCTTCCTCCCTGCTTACCAGCTGGCAAAAGAAACATTATGATAACATAATACCACTATTATAGGCAGCCAGAAGCTGCAAATGTATTCATAGCTGAAGCTTCTGACTCATTGTACTGGGATTCTTTTGCCTGATATCACTAAAGGCCTTTGGGTCCAGCCTAATGATGCCATTCTCCCCATGAAATAATCCAGGAGCTGGAAAGAAAGTGAGTGGAAGAATAAATTAACAGTAGATCTCAGATTAAAATGGGAAACGAAGAGAGAAAGCCAAGCACCTCTGGACATCGCAAAAGGAATCATATGGCAATGCAAGCATTATGAGACAGCAGCAACAACAGCAAACAAATTTGTCCCTATTTTTTTAAAAAAAGCACTCAACTTTGTTCTTAAAACTATTGTAGCACTTCAAACTATTTAAAAAATTATCATGATTTGGGCACATGGGAGTATTATTAAAGTATTTATAAAGTTTATTAAAGACAGAAGGTAGACATGACAACCGTATCTCTTGTTTTCCAAAGCAACTCCAAATAGGAGCAGCTCTTTGCAAAGCCTGGAGTTTATGGGCAGCAGGAAGGAGTTTAGAGTATACTGTAGTATTAATGAGTAACTATAGAATTTGAATAAGATGTATCTCGAAACTGTTCTTTTTCATTTTGCAGCCATTGTCTCAGTCAGGAATGTCATGAATCTAATTCCATGCCCTGAGAGGTGGCAGCCCTGCTCTCCTGCCCCATTTCAATTATATGAATAGGAGCTGCTGCTCAAAATAAAAAGATGTGACTGGATACCCTTTGAAATCTTTGAAGTCTGAAACAGACTGGATTATAGTCTTTGCTTTTTTTATATTTTTAGTATTCTCAGATGCAACCATGTTTCAGCTTCCACTGTATTCAGCGTTATCAGTTGCTAAATAGCAGGGGAATCTTCAAGGAAAGAGCAACATGTAGCAGCATAATTATTGTAAGGAATCATACGGGTTTTTTTCCTGTAGAAGCATGCTTTTTATGGGGACTACGGTTTTTCCCAGAAACTAAGCAGCAATATATTTTTCTGCGGGAAGGAACTTATTATTGTGGACCATTATATGATGATATTACAAGACATTCATATCATCACATAAAGGCAGCCCATAAACGTTGCTCTTTTAGCCCCTTCCTTTCCTCATCATCTTGTCAGCAGTTCTCCACATTTATTAAACAGGGCAAAAAAAGGGGGCCTCATGGAAATACTTTATGAATAACAGTTTCATTTAAAATTTATAACCTTCTGCTTACAGTACATGGACTCTTCTTGCCAAAGAGACAGAATCTCCCATATAAGAGTATAGTGAGTTTATAATGATGTCTGAAATCCCTTGCTTTGGCAGCTTCAGAGTTTCATCTCTCTCTCTCTCTCGAACCAGAAATGAAAGTGACACTATATGTATGCATGGCTGCCTTCAAAACCAGCAGCCCCACATTTTCTGCTCTGATCTTCCCCATTAAACTTGAGGAATCACAAAACATCAGCTACATCAGCACTATATTGTGAGCCTCTCATTTCATTGACTGCTACTTATAAGGCAAGAGAAACCTCTAACCACTAAAAAATGTAAAACCTCTAACTTTCCTTAGAAAAGAAGCTTAAAACTGTGATTGCAATCATTTTTCTGTTGCACATATTGAATGTTTATGTGTAGACGCCATGTTCTATGAAAAATAAAAAATGAAAAACAGAACATATGCAAAAGAATCTATCTTACTTCTCATAGAACAAATCTAAAGAGTCCTGCAAATAAAGGGTTTTTGATCAATTCTGGTATGTATATTTCATGGATCACAACTTAACTTCTGCTCTTATGAAAAAACAAAAACAAAATCTGTCCTATTTACAGTGCTTTTTTCTAAAAAAAAAAAAAAAAAGGTGCCGGAACTCACACACATCATACAACCCGCCTTGCCTACCCTACAAGGTTCCATCCAAAAATGGTGCCGGAACTCCGTTCTGGGCGTTCTATGAGAAAAAAAGCCCTGCTTATTTATACTACACATTAATAAAATATTCCAATAAGAAGGTGATTCTGTAAATAGGTGAACACTGGCTTTTGTTTCTAGCTAAGTATTTTAAAATTTAAGGCCATAATCCTTAACAAAATTATGAATATGCATCTCATTGAAATCAGAATCTGATATTTACTTTCTTAACAATATGTTCCTGTAACTTCATCCCACAGAGCGGCCATAATATTATAGGTCTTGGTTATATGACAGGTCCAATTGCTCAAATTCTCAAATACCCAGTAGAATTCTGGGAAATTATACCTACTAAAAATAGATTGTAGCAAAAACCTGTTTCTCCTGCATGCTGCCTTAAGAAGCTGGCTTAACAAAACAACCAGTCAAATCACAGATTCAATGGCTGAACCCATATTCCAAATGAATGGATGTATGTAGTCTATCTATGTAGATTCCCTCTCCTTGAACTTCACTAAATGGAATTAATCTACCTTTCAGACTAGCATGCAAATTTTTGCTTCGCACTTCAGGGTAGAAAAAGATCCTCTCTTTCTTGGTACTGTTTACACTAATTACACCAAATAGTACACCAAACATGTATCTTATTTATTTGTTTGTTTGCTACATTTTACTTTACTACATTATAAGCAACGCAAGGCAGAGAAAATACATTATATTCCCTCTATTTTCCCCACAACAATTCTGTAAAGTGGGTCGAGCAAACAGCTTTCATGCATAAGCAAGAGTAGAACTCATGATCTCCTTATTTCTAGGCCAGCACCTTGACTACTATCACTATATCATACCCCAATCCTATCTACCACACCTACAGGCTGCTTTTTCATACTGACCTATGACATTTTTTCTGTGCCAGTCCTGTTCCTAATACTTTCTCCTAATGACCTCAATATTCTTGATTTTTTTTCCTTTCTTAATCTGACTTATCTATTTTATGGTATCTGAATTTTGCTCTTATCTCCCTGGTACAACAGTTTTTCTGTTCCTCTACTTATCATATCTTGCCAAAATTTTATCTGTACATTTACATCTACCATTTTTTTTTAAAAAGTAGCTTATTTTAAGAGTCTCCTTGATAAATGTTTCCACCGGTTATACTTAACATCTTGAAGGAGAACCTGAGAATAGTTCCAGAACAACAGTATAATTTACAACATTAGAAATATATAATTGTTATCATTCCCTGTCATCAAGAAGTTCATATTCATGCACATGTTCCTTATTGCCAGGTAAATACTCAATTAGTCTTGCATTGGCTCAGAATCATATACAATGGGGGGGGAGACTCGAACACTACACAAAAACTGCAACCATTTTAATGCCTTTTAATTATGATCTGAATTTGTGAGTAACCAATTTATTATTATATTTATTTCCCTTACCTATTTAACATGTTAGATTGGTAGATCCTCTTGTCTTGTGTATTGTAGCAGCTACTCTTGGGCTCAGGAATAAAGCTATGCTCAGATAGCATATCAGAGGCGGCCGTGGTTATTATGGCTATTCCATCTTTCACTCTGTCACGAAGACCATAGTCCCACTCATCGTATGACACAGAGATGAGTCCAGTGGGAAATTCAGATGGAACTGTGTCTGTATCTCCAGCCACCAAACTGGGCACAATCCATGTGTAATCATACCCAGTCAGTCCTACAGAGTTAGCCACCTCAAAGATATAAGTGGCCTCTTCCTTAGTACAGTACAGTAAGATGACAGGACTCTGGAGTTTCTTGAGTTGATTCTGGATCTTTGAATCTCCATCATCCAGAGACATGTCCAGCAAGAGTACCTCTTCTAGCTCCCAGCCAACAAAGCTGTTCTCAATAGTGCTACGGACCTTGTTGACAAAATCTTGGTAGCCAGGAAAGTAGGTAGTGACAATGGAGAAAATGTACCAGTCATATTCTTCCATGATGTTCAGCATAACAGAAGCTTGTTGTTCTATCGATGGACCAAACTGGAAGAACATGGATGATTCATCCTATTAGTGGAGAAAAGAGGAGAGAAAAAAGTCAAAAAGAGAATATAATAAAAAAAATTGCTTAGTTTCACTGAGATATACAGAGAAGAGGAAAGCTAACGTACTGATTTGCTTTGCATTTAATATATGACTTATGATTACATATAATTATGCATGCACAATCATAAATTTGTGGTTAATTATTTTTAAAACCTGCAATCATATTGGGAAAGATACAATAAACTCTGGGTACAACGGCTCCTTGGAAAGCAACTTCTCTTCCTCAAGTTCTGCTCAACATGTATTAAAAAGTATCTGGTACAGAAAAAAGTACTGCAGGGAAAAAAATCAGCTCAAAAAAACCCCCACCTTTCATTCTACTTAGAAAGTAAGCAGCAACAAATGTAGGGGACTGATTGACTGAATTGCACATTTTATTTAACCTAAAGCCCATGTTAATGATTAAAATAAATTGTGGGGATCAGAAAGATCCTAGATCTTTCTTATTTGTAACAACAAATAGAACNAACAATTTATTTTTCACATTTTCATGTACATTCCTCCTCAAACTCACAAGCTGCTATTGAAATATGAATCAGTATTAAGACAGTTTCTCTCTAAAGAAGTTTGGAGAGCCATTCACAGATATTTATTAAATAGAAAATTTTCTAATTATGAAGCATGTGGGCTAAATATTAAACATATCAGGACTTTTTCCTTAATAAGAATTAATTAATTCATTCATTCATTAATTCATGTGTGTGTATACATATACATATATTATATGAATATGTATACACACACATACATACATTATATAGTACAAATGCTGAATTAATGTAAAATCAGACGATCTGTTCTATTATTTGAGAGTCGGTGAAAACATCCAAGCATATTCCTTGAAGTAGTAAAATCTCTATAGTCTACATCTTCTTCAATCCATCCTCCAGTTTGAGAAGCCTCAGGTTACCTTTGCATTCTCACATATCAAGTGAATATAGTCAAAGGAAATAGTTACAATTTAGCAATCAACTAATCAATCATATCTAGGCTAGAATGCTACAGAAACAGAGAGAGTATTTCAAGTATTTCATGGATAAGTTAAAAACAGACAGATAGGAGTTTTTTTAGATTCTAATTGTTTGCATATAAAATGTTACCGGGAATAACATCATGACAAGGAGCATTATAGTTATTCCTTAGGACCCTTCAGCTGTTCATAAAACATGGGAAGAAGAGATAGATGAGGAAGACAGAAAAGAAAAAGTCATTTGGCTTCTCCTGTTGCTATTCTTGTTGCCAGTCTTCAAAGAAAAAGGTAGCAAAATATTTGAGGGCTGGCTGCTGGGTAGTTTTATGTGAGTATAAGGAAGCATAAAGATAAAAGAGAATACCAATATTAAGTGCATCTTTTTCTGCTGGAATTTGTTCAGGCTTTTCTCTTTTTTCTCCCCTCTGGAAAACCTGGAAAAATCTTGATCCAACCCAAATTATAAGCAATTCAAGATTTGTTGCTGATAGACAGACTATATGCTAAACCGGAGAGAAACTAAATGAGATGAAATAATTTTCCAAGTCCTGTAAATGAAGTCCATTTTTCAATTTAGACCACCATTCCAAATGCTTCAAACTATTATTTATAGAATGGGAATGCTAAATTAAGTACTTAGAAAACCACTTCATCTTCTCTATCCATTAATTGTACAAAAAAAATCTCAATTACCAAGCTTTTACCTTACAGGGTAAAGAATGAAACCACATTAATTGTGAAGATAGATTCTTCAGTAGCAAAATATGTTGCTACTGAAAGTTGTTTTACAAACCACATGTTTCATCAGAGTGTTTGTAGTTTATTCCTGTATGTTTGAATCACTAGAATTTTTTGCAGTTATCAAATTTATTGAAACATTAACACAGAGGCTAAATTTTGAAACATCATGTCAATTAAAAACCAGGATCCATGAACACTGGCTGTCAGTCAAATGCCACAATCCCAAATCCTTAATTTCTACCCACACTGACACCAAATAATACCAGTTCGATTGGAGCAAAACTAACATCGTTGGCCACGCTACCTCCCACCACGCCTGTGAGTTCATCGAAGCCTGGCACTCCACAAGCAATTCCATCAACAGATACTTCGTCCTACAACCAGCCTACGATCCCCTCAGAATCCAAATCAACTGCACAGTCAACCAGAGACAGCACTGACCTTCAACCAACCCACGCAAGCCCCCCTTCTCCCCACCAGCAGTTCACCTCCCAATGACCCTGACCAGATGTAACCTCCCCATTACAAGACCCATCACAAGCCTCTCACTGATGACTCACACCTGACCCATCACAAGACCCTCACTTGACAGACCCACACCTGAAGCCCTTATAAACAGAACACGGACACTGACATCCCTTAAACTCCACTGAAGATGATACCTAGCCTGGTAACGAAACATTCAGAAACCAACCCACAATATCAGAGAATGAACTTCACCCTCAGAAATTTTGAAACTTGGAATTAATGCAAAATGTATAGTGATATTCTAAGCAATTTTGGATTCAGTAAATATAAGCATTTGGCACTCATTCAATAGAATTGTCAGCTTTATAATTTAACTGAAGCTATTATAGAAAAGCCAGGACTGAAAATTATTTGATTTCAAGATGTCAGAAAACATACAAAACTAGGGAGTTGAAAACATGGACATAATCCTATGTTTTGATAGAAAAATGTTGGAAAATTATTACAACTAATAAATAAGATTAAATGTTTACGGGTCTGTTTGATCTCTCAGGAGCAAGCATTTGGTTCTTTTTAATTTAATTTATTAATTTAAAATATTAGTTAAATAAATTATATAGTCTTTAGATTAATGTTTCTGCATTCATTCACAGCAAACTTCAATGATTCTCAATAACAGGAATAGTAATACTTTGGAGGGAAAATTCTGTTCCTTATGCATACTATGATTGATCATCAGTTGCTGCTTCAGAGGGATATCACCTCTGCCATTAAACTGACAAATCTATTATAAACTCCTACCCAATTTTTGTGATGTGTTAGAACAGGGATCTCCAATCCCCAATCCATGGACTGGCACCAGTCCGTGGCATGCAGAAACCAAGCTACACAAAAAAACAAAGCCCCATTTGTGGGATGCAAGCAGCATATCCCCTCTGATCCACAGAAAAACCTCTCTCCACGGAACTGGTAACTGGTGCCCAAAAAGTTGGGGGCCACTGTGTTAGAAACTGCACAGCAGAAGTTAGAGAAAATGCACATACGTGATAGGATATCAACATAAAAGCCTTATTATACATGTACATATTCTGATATATACAATAAATCCCCAAGAATATCACATCACATCAGTGCTACCAATTAGCATTATTTCATGTTTCCATTACCTCATTCGTTCATTAAAATAGTGAATATAAGAATCTTAACAAAATTGTCCTTTGCTTTTGAAATTATAGTTCTTCAAATCTTTTTTCAGCTGATCTACAGGGGAAATGTTGGGGGCAAAATGACAGAACAAGTAGTTCTATTTCAGAATTTCTACAGTTTTGACTGTTGTCATAATATCAGCAAGAAGTTACTTCAGTTCAAACAGAAGAGCTAGGATTGTTCAAACCAATCTATATTAGTACCTGGCAGTATGCTTTAACGAAATCAGCAAAATCAGCTATTACAAAAATGAGATGTACTAAAGTAAAATATTACATTGCAAAGAAAAGTGCTTTTCCAGAAATTAAATTGAACAAAAATCCTAATATATCATTATTCTAAATTAGCAATAAAAACGTTGATGACGCAAAATACTTTGGAAATTATCAGTATTTTACCATTTTTTCAGTTACAATAAAAATGAAGATATATATAAATAGATATAGCACAACAGTAGTCATTCAATATTAGATTAGGGCTTTATAGTAAATGCTAGGAAAAATAATATAAGCTATAATTAGCATTTGCTAGTTATAACTTATATTCCTAAAAGCATAATTGCGCTCATAGGCTAAAGCGCAAAATTATAAACTTTCAGTACAATCTACAAGGCAACTATATCTTCACAAGACTCCATTGATTTTTATTCAACTTACAGCACACAAATACTATTGAATAGATGGAATAATCAGAACACTGAAACAACTCCAGTTTTAAAAACATCTATTTTGCAGATGGAAGAAAGGTTCAAACACCGCCATTCTAATATACAGATACTTCTAAAAGGGATTCCACTATTACTAACCTAGTCTTACCCTAAATAATTTGAAGTTATATTTGAATGAACTGCGTGGTAGTATATTATTTATAAAGCTGAATATACTATACCTATTTCACTACTGTATTTTTTGTTTTTGCTATATGCTGTGTGTTAAGGTTATAAATAAATTAACACACTCCAGCAGTGAAATTAAGGAGCACATTCATAGTTATATGTCATCACTGGTGTACTGATAGAAGTAATGCTGCATATATTTCTCTCACTATATGTTTTGGCCTTGATCTGTATTATATTTTCTCAGCTATTGCTAATGATCCAACCCTAATTTACTGCAGTTCTAATTGTTTCAGGTATAATGTTTGAAAGAGATTAGCAGTTTAAAATACTTAGTTTATGTTCTAAGAAAAAGACTTATGCTGTTTTCAAAATCCCTGTCCTGGATATTCAGTGAAAAAGAACATGAAATTTAAGAGCAAAGGCAATAAAAAGGAAAATTTTCTCACGTTGATTTTCACTGAAGTTAGGCTTGAGCAATACGTTTACGGTTGCATTTAATATAGAATTTGAATGTGAAATGCTGTATACAATATTTGAAAATGTTAACTTTAGCTATAGAATTTCAGACTGCACATATTTTAAAAGAATATGATATACAAATTTAAATGCCATTATTCATTAAATTCAGCTGAAGTATTTTTCAATGGATTCCACTGTTCTTTTATTTTCTTTAGATCTTTTGAAATCAGTTGTAAATTAATTGATTATATTCCAATATAAATCATACCGGGAAGCTTA